GTTGTGATGATTGTCATGATATCTGCTGCACACTTCGCATCCACAGCAATACATCGAAGTCTTGAGAAGAAAAAAAACGGCCCCCAACATGGTGGTGCTGCCCGAGTTTTCACGCACCCGGGGCACTTCTTGTAAAATTCAACAAGGTGCTTATTGTCATGCGAATTTATCCCGCAGTGGCTTGTTTGAGATGCAGGGAATGCGTCGTCATAATTATCAGAACAACTGCTGGTGATGCTAAAAATGCAAAGCAACAATTATCATCATAACTGCTGGCGATATGGCGAGTGCATGGTAATAATTATCAGCATCCCTTATGTTGGGTAAAACAATGCATCATCAAAAACATCATCCTTGTCGTGCTGCTCTTCTTTTTCATATATGCTTTAAGTGTGCCGTTAATTGTCATAATTGTCATAACAACGTGCACTGTCAGCAAGCAGGGGCCGGCGGCACAGGGCGGCAGCCCTTGAAATACAACTCTAGTCGAGATGGGGGTGGTGGTGTTGTAAGGGTGTTTGAGAATCCAACCGATGCAGCAATAAAGTTGCGGAAGCCGCAAGACAAGGAGATCAATCATCCTGACCTTGTCATGATGTGTCATGTATGGATCACCATTCATCATACACGCAAGCATCTCTAAGATTTCTAAGATAACTCTGAGCCAGCGGTTGTTCACACATATATATATATATATACACACTTTTCGGAGTTCCTTTGGTTGGGGCATTGCGGCCAACGTTGCATGAGTTGAGCAGCTCACACGCGGGGCCATGACAAAAGCATCAAACCACACAACACAAACAATACCAACCTCACCACCAAGAACACGGCCAAAACCAAGCCCCAACCAGGCGCATACTGAGACTCTACGCCATGTGGATCGTGGCCTGCCTGCTCCACCAGTTGCTTTGTCTGATCACTCCGTCCCTCGCTGAAGCGTAGCAAAGCCCACAAAGCCTGCGCGGTGCCGTCGACATGAGACACGCGCGCGCCTCTCAGCTTGTGCGAGCCTTGACCCTGATGGAACCCGGATTAGTAACTCCCTAGTTGCTGGGGAAGGGGATCATTTTGAGAATGGGAGAGTCTTGCTCTATGAGCGTGTGTCTCAAATAATATGAGGGCAGGCTGCTGGATGGTTCACCTTCGAATTCCGAGTGTCCAATGTTGGCTGACTCTTTTGCCTGAAAACCAGAACCCCCCCCCAAAAAAAACAAAACGACGCTTTTGTTGGCCTGCCCTCCCCCCCTCCGGCTTTTTAGGCCCAGAAGGTGCACTGGCGTTTTTCGGGCAGCTCCTGTCTCTGCAGCTCGGGGTTGGCGCTCTCCTGCCGGGTGGCAAATCCCTCGGGGAGTGGGACCCTGGCACTCTGAATTCTGCCTGTCGCATGGCGGTTAAACCAACCCACAGGCCCACCGTCTCCAATTGAAACCCAAATGGATTCCCGCAATCAGGGTTTGGACGGAAAAAAAAAGGCGCTCCTGGCTCATTTGCAGAATCCATGGCAGCACATCCGCAGCAAGCCTGCAGAAGGTTCGGTGACTAGGTCAAGGCCGTGAATGACCCTTCCCATCTAGGCTTTGCCGAGATGCCGTGAGCATGGGAGGCCGAAGCCGCTTTCTACAATGCCCGCGTCCTCCCGTTCCCACACACCCAATACGTACGACGTCGTGTCCTCCTTTGAAATCCTCTTTTTGGAGGGGGCTTCCCTTCAAAATCAAGTGCCCAAGCAAAGGTGGCCATTTTTGCCCATGGCCACTGGGCTTTTCAGTGAGTTCCAGTGGGGTGATGTTCAGTGGGGGTAGATGGGACTTTTGAACTTGGGAAGAAGACCTTCGGGATCCGAAGGCGATCCTGACATGTCAGGTTTGCCCAGCGGTACGCCCCCACCAACATGGAACATCTGGCCCCTGGAAAGTCATGTTCTGCGTTTTGTTCACCAAAAAAAAAAAAAAAAAAAACCCACAAACAAAACACCACGAACATGTACAAAAAAAACACACAAACAAAACAACACGAACATGTACAATGTGCTCTTGGGGAAGGGGAAGGCGGGGGGGGGTGTGCTCTTGGGGAAGGGGAAGGCGGGGGGGGGTGTGCTCTTGGGGAAGGGGAAGGCGGGGGGGGGTGTGCTCTTGGGGAAGGGGAAGGCGGGGGGGGGGGGTGCTCGCCCGCCGAAAAGTAAAAGGCCGAGTGGCAGCGAGTCTAAAGGAACCGCCTCGAGCCTGAAGCGGAGAGCACGTGCTCAGAGGAAGCCTGGGCCCTGCAACCTTCCCCGGGGATCAACGCTCCTCCAAAATGTTTGAAGGAACCTCTCAACCTCTCAGATCGCACCAAAAAGAGGAGATTTTGGAACCCCTGTTCAAGGGATCCACGTGAGGCTGGCCATATTCATTTGGGGCGAGAGGATCGACATTTGAGACGACTGCACAACAGGTTCCCCCTCATTCCCAAGCTACCCCTCAGGGCTCTTGTATTTGAAACGTCATTCCGTCATTCCGGCAGTGCGCGAATAGCGGATGCCGATTTGCGAAACCAGATCCGACTGTTTGCATCCCTGAGGGGGCAAGCCTCGAACCCAGGGGGAAAAACCTGGGCCAGAAAGCTAGAAATCAAACTCCAAGACGCTGGGTGAATCACAGAAAATCTATGCTCCCGCCTTACCATGGTTCGGGCCAAAAACTTTAATCGCTTGTCTAACAGGTTCTACTGCAGCCTAGCCTTGGATCTGGAGCTCATAGGGTAGGTGCGAGAGTGAGCAGGGTCAGCACCGTTGCTGTCTCTGATTTGATTTGCGGAGGGCACAGGGTTCCCAGCATTTCGCACGCTCATGTGATATGGGGTATGGCCAGTCACCCTCAGACTATGAGGGACGTTCCCTTGCACAATGTCAGCCAGGCTTCGCCAACAACTCCTCGACGGCCTCGAGCTGTTCTGATGGCTCCTGCAAGCAATAGAAAGGGTCAAACAATAAGAACGCGTTATTCTCTGATCGGCAGAATCTGGTGTTGAGGTACCCCACGAATCAAAGGGAAGGCTGAAATCCAGTTTCGGGGTTCCGGATTTTGACACGTAGTCCGACGGTTTGAGAATGACTAAGCCGATATGGTCATAGAGTCACACACGCACGATATGGTTCAACAGCCTCGCTTGCAGTCAAAACTTTGACCTTGGTGCCAGCCACCAAAGGGGTTCAAACATGGAAACGAGCGTGAAACCAACATATACAACTATTAATATACATATTATATATATATATATATATATATATGTGCCATATTTCTTGTGGTTCATGTGGCATATGGCATCTGCCGCCAGCCCCCCACTTTCTTCGGAGACTCTGGAGCCAATCGCAGGCTGCCCAGCTGCCAGGGATTGCCAGCCTTCTGGTGCCGCACGATTTGCTCGCGAGACCACTGGGAGCGCAACCTTTTTGAATGAAACCTCGCTCGAGTCCACTTCTGGGTTGGGGATCCTTGGATCTTTCTGAATGCAAGCCCAACCCTTGAAGCGTCTTCCCCATACTGAACGCACGCGAACAGATACGCACATGTGAGCTTCACCGGGTGTCATGTTGGGGTGATGAAAACCAAAAGTTACTTCAATACCCATCCTTTTGCAAGGCAGAACAAGCCATCTGTGCGCAATTCCAGCACCCAGTCAGACAAACCAGTCCAGTTGCTTGTTAAGTTAAGTGCATCAGTTGGCTTCAAGCTCAACGCATGCCATCAGCCCAGCGACGAAAAGGCACGCGCCCCGTGCCATGCTGAGCATGCCGCACAATCCGCGCGTCGCGGGGCCAAAAGCGCGTCCTTCATGCTGGCCAACACGAAACCTGAGGTTGTATGGCTTTCTGACAAGCCCCCCAGGCGCTCCCACCGAAAACTATGTGAGACAGCTGGCAAGCTTTCTCAAGAGTCGCGCCCGCCCCAGAACCCCTCCAGACTGGACTCCGGGGGAAAAATTTGACAGATTTACCCTGGGTGTGGTCCCAAAGGTCAGTTGCTGCAAGATTTGAACAACTAATCTGTCCTTGTGTTTTCCCCCTGATTTTCCATAACCTGTCAGCCGTTGCAATCTCTCGTTCTCTCTCTCTCTCTCTCTCGCTCTCTTTCTCTGGGCGTGCTGCACCCTTGCTTTTTGATCATCTGTTCCTTTTCTTCTCGGCCACAACCAGCAACATTGGACATGAAATGTACCAGAATGATGTCAACATCTAATTTCTCTCTAGGCCCCTATCTTTCTTGTTTACATTTGTTTACCCAAGACCCAGTTTGCACATGAAGCCAAGGGGTTGACCCCAAAGCTCCCAGCACGTTTGATGGGGTAAGGATCTTGAAAGCTTTTCTGGGTGGGGTGAAGTATGTCTCCGGGCTGACTCTTGCCGCAGGCACTCCTCAACCCCACAGGCCCAGCGGCCATGGGAGAAAAATGCGTTTTTGTCTTGGCTGATGGAATTTGACGGGGAACTGCCCTTCCCAAAAATGGAGCAACACAGGGAATCCACTGGGATGGGTAAGTGTCATTCAGCCGGGCCGTTTTAGGTTTCAGCCAGGCCGCCTCAAGGACAGAGCTCGCGGCTCGCTGTGCCCATCTCGAGCGCGCCCGCGGCCGCGGTCGCGATTCAACAAAAATTCTAGGGGGCGATGTTCCGGTTCCATTCCTTTCCCGGCCCGTGGTGTCCCAGGAAACAACCCAAGAAATCTAGGCTTTGATGGGCGTTTTGAACCAACCCATTCTTTTCAGCCACCGTTCTTTTCAACAACCGTTCGCCATTTTTTCCAGGGTTGTGGTGGTTTTCTAGAAAGATTCGGATCCCTGGGTTCAGAATGGAATTGGAAGTTACCCCTGGAAATATGTATTTCCAGGAATCGCTTGCCAGTGCTTCAAAATTTGGATCCCCCCCCCAACCCAAACGGGCGGGGGGTGCGGTTTTCGCAGAGTCTCGAGGACCCACTGTCGCAAACAAGCTCTGTGAGCTCTGGGCATTGAGAGGATTTTCACCAAACAGATTGGCCCTCCGAAATCGGGGACTACGTCTCTCAGGTGCTTGCCACTGGTGTCTCAGATGCACCTAGAGCGACCATTTCTGCCGACCCGGGCGAAGCACGATCACCCAATGCAAGTAGCAAGCCAATGGCTAAGACTCTAGGGCTACCTCCCCCATTCTGAACCCAGGGATCCTTCTTTTCAGGACACCATCAAAAACCCAGGGGAAATCAAAAAGCCGGTTTTTGAAAAGAACGATGGTTGAAAAGAATGGGGAGTCAACCCCTAGAAAGACATCAGAACCCCTAAAGGACACTTCCTGGTGGCTCAAACCCCAAAATCAGTTCCTTGGTGAACCCACTTGAGACAGCAGGAATAAATTATCAAATCATGTCAGTGCATGACTAGCAAACCCTTTGTGGTTCAAGGCTTCCCCTTTTCCCTCCCAGATTTCCACCAATAGTAAAGAGCCGACAAGGCCCAAAACAACCATACCGATCATTTTTGGAGCCTCCCCCCCCCAACTTCGATAAAATGACCCCGGTGCAGCCCCCCTGCCAAAAACCTGCCAGAAAAGTGGCTTTCCTTGTTGCTTGGTATTCGCTCAGCCTGTGCTTAAACCAACCCCTCAAGGTTTCCCAAGAAATATGCTTCCCCCATAATTCTAGGGGCTGATTCCCCATTCTTTTCAACCCTTTCCCTGGGTTTCCGGAGGTTTTCTAGAAAGAAGGATGCCGGGAAAGAATGGAATTGGAAGGTACCCTCAGAATGATGCATTGTGGTCAAGCTCACAAAGGTGACCCCTGGGAGCTTGTTCACTCGAGAGGGCAGATGGCTGAGAGATAGTGCCGACGGCGCCACAACAAAAAGGTCCTATGGCCCAGAAGAATCGAAGGCAAGGACCGAAGAGGCTCTCCAGGTTCGCTGGGAAGGGGCCAGAAGCACAAGGACAAGGGACCGAAGGGCTCCGGATCTTTTGGGGGGGGGGGGGGCCTCCAAGAAGTCGCTGTTTCGGGGCTCGTCCAAACCTTGTCGAGCTTGAAACATTACATCCCGAAATGGTCATTCAAATCCGCAGCGCACGGGGTCGCGCCCCAAGACGCTTACAAAAGAAGCGTGTGTCAATGTTGCTACCCGGCTGTAAAATTCTAATTAGAATCCCCTCCGGGATTTGGTCCTTTCACGCCCGTTGAACTGGCCACGCCTCGCTGTCGACTCATCGAGACGTGCCGGCAACGAGATCACAGGGCAGTCTTTGAAAATATCCTGCCAGAGGCTCGTGCCACAAGTGAAGCGTTGATCCGGGTGAATTGGAATTGAAGAATTCATGGGTGCGGTTAATACTTTTACAGAAGGGTATTGGAACAAGTGTTGTCTTCTCCCACTGTTTTCTTGTATGGGGTGGGGGGGGAGGTTTAGCACCAAGTCAAAATCAGACCTGGACCAAAGGAATTCACAGGAACCTGGAGGTCGCACTGCTCCTTTGCAGTGAATGAACGCTGAGAGGCATGCATGGTTTCTAGCGAAGGGCCTGCACTCAATCCCAAGACAAAGCCGAAATGTGGCGCACATGTTCACAAGCTCCGGGGGGCCTTGAAGCCTAGGCAAACTCAGGAAGAATCCTAGGTTTTGAACTTTCACGCCTGAATACTTTTACAGAAGGGGGTCTTGGAACAAGAGTTGCCTTCTCCCATCTTTGTTTGTGGGGGGTTGCTGCGAAGAAGCTCTGCACTTTTGTCCGAAACTTTTTTTGTGCCCTGCCACCCTTGCCGAACCTGTTCAGTGGCCCCGTGTCTCATGGGGTGCCCTTTGGTTCCCCACAAAACCCGAAAAAGGGTCTGATGCCTGGTTCGCCTCCCCGCTTTGGGCCAATGGATTCGAAATCCCGTTGTGACCAAGTAGGCCTTGTGACTCTATCCCCGAGGAGAAAAACAGAAATACGCCCACACTCTTATCCGCCATAAAATTGTAAAATGATTCAGACGTCTAAATTCTGGGCTGTCCTCAAAAGTTTAACTTTAGTGGGTTAGGTGAAAATCTCCACGAAACACTAAAAAGCTAAAAGGCTATCGGGATGGCTGGGCGCCACTAAGAATTATGTTGGGGGGCTTCCATGACTAGCTCTGCCAAGCTCAAGCACGGTGTTTGGACCATGGCACATATCCACCTCAGCTAACGGCCCCCAACCCAAGGGATCATAAGTCTGGTTCTGGCCCATATTTAGCGAACCCCAACGCAACATCATTTCAAAGGAGATCTCAGACTCATACTGCAGCCGTTTGTCCCGACCGTCCGATCTTGCAACACCTTTCGTGCAGAACACCTTGGGCTTTCGAGGAACACACACACACACACACACACATCCGAGTACATCGCCCCTCCCCAAGAAACAAACCACTTGAAGCGAAAGTGCCGTAAGGAAGGTGCCCAACACCACCCTTTAACGCTGTTCGCTTAACGTTGCGCATCCAAAACTATCTGCTTGACAAGGATTTGGATTTCAGTGCCTGACCCCAGGTATTTTAAGGGGGAAATATAAATTAACATGGAACCCCCGAACCGTGCATTCGCGGTTCCATCCTGATTTGCGGGTGACTTGTTGACTGGCCCAAATGCCTTCTTCAAGAAATTGCTGCCTCCCGGGGCACGCCTATCGGACTCGGCGAAGGCGAAGGCCATGAGCAAGTGGACGTGGCCGTAGCCTTCAAAGGCGCGAAGCTTCCATGGGGCCGCTTTTGCGGTGCTTTGAAACGAGAGGGGTGAACTATTAGCAATGACTTCCCCCTATTCTTCCGTCGTGAGGTAGCAAATCCCCAAAGGGACCTACATCATAGCTCGGTTTTACCAACTGAGCTTTCCGTAAAATAGACAAGCAGCAGGATATGAGCTGACTTGGGGACTCTTTGGTGGACGTCATTCAGGTGGGGATTTATGCTCACCAACCGCCTTGCTATAGCAAACACTCCTGCGGGACTCCAGAACTTTACAAGTTTGTTCCCCTAGTTGCCTATAGCTGCTGTCCTTTGTTTACAGTGTGTGCTTGTTGGGTGTGTTTGTTTGTGCTATGCCCGGCGCCCAAGTGTTTGATTCCCATCCCCCCAAAGTGGCTCGGTGGGGTGGGCCAGGCAGGCGGAAGCTTCGATGACACTCGAGGTGCTCCAGAACAGGTCAATTCAATCATAACTTTAAACTCACGCGTCTAACACAAGGAAGCAAAGTGTCAGTTGTAAAATGTGACTGCAATTTGCACCTCCTAGTTTCGAACCGAAATCAAAGAGCAATGCCGTGATCGATGAGTGGCATGTTTGTTGGGAACACTTCGGTTTTGGTACCCGGAGAACTTGTTTGGACTAGGGCCAACGTGGACACCCACGGAGTGAATTGATAAAAAAAACATGTTGCTTCCAGGGGTGTCTATCTCATCAAATCCTTTGGTCGAACCACTTGCACAGCTTGTCTCCTACAACACTGCAACCCAATTCAGCCCGGAACTCCGGGGCTGTCCTACTTCAACCGAGGCCCTTTTTCCAGGGGACACATATCCTTTTGGTTTCCCTTAGGTGGTTAAGTCGCTGAATCGCAGGTGCACCTCTACAATGTTGCACACCCGGTAGCTTCCGGAGTGCCAGTTCACATGTTCATGGTCCCAAAAGTGCATGTGTCCAACATGTGGGCGCATGGAGCCTTAGGGGGGTCCTGGTTTGGACCATTTTCCTTTAAAAGGGGGCCATTTCCCTGGTGGGTTCCATGACGTTACCATGGACCAGAGGGTAGCCATCAAAACGACAAGACCGAGGGGCGGTTCTTCGTGGCCCGCATCGAGCCGCTGATCCGGGTGCATGGCATGGCGCACGCGATGGGAAGGTCCTATAAGCGCGAAAGCGCGCGAGCGAGAAAGCGCGTGAAAGCGGGGTTTGGATGGGGGCGGCTTGGGTTGGTGACTTGCTTTGGATGGGCCTCATTGGAAGCAGAAAGGACCCCCTTCAAAAGGAAACCCAGCCCAGTGGTTCCCAAAGGACGGGGCATAGGTATCTGAGTGTGGTGTTGAGCTTCTGAGGTCTGCATAGCGCGGGTATCCAGCCTGTTGATTCTTTGTTGTTTGCAGGAAGGGTTTTGCTAGTCCTGGAAGGCCCCTTTGCCCAAGAATCTCACCCCACGATTAAACCCCATGAGCTCGAGGCATTTTCAGTCCAAGGGATAGGTACAGGAGTCGTAAACTGCAATGCTGGATGTGAATCTGGTGAGCTTAGGAAGCCTCTTGTTCCGAGTCAGCCGTAGGTGACCAGGACTTCAATGGCAGTCTGCTCTATGGCCCATGTGAGATGAGCCGAACCACAAGCATCCCCGGACCTTGAAGTTCAGCACTCTGCTGGAAGCGTCCTGATGCAAGCAAGTCCATACCCCTCTGAGGCAGCCGAAGGCTACCCACGCCGAGAAATTTGGGCAAGTCCAAGGTTTCGGGAGTCAGGAGTCAGCAGGCCGAGTGGTAGGGAACTTCCTACGAACCCCGTGGAACTTAGCTCTTGCTTGCGCATGGCCAAAATGAAGGCACCTCAGGATGATGGCGCCTACATTCCAGCCAGGAATCCTCTTGTGTTTGCCTTTTGCAAATGGCAATACGAAGCAGGTGTTTGAGGACTCAACAAGCAAAGTACGCCTTCTGATTCGAAGTTGTCCGCAACAAGGTCTTGCATGCCACAGCTTTGCTCAAAACTAAACTAGGAGGGAACCCAGACCTCAGGCTCCCGAAATTGTGGAAAGGCTGCTTGACCTAAGGTTGCACATGCACTTGTTTGAGCACCTTCCTCGCAGCGTCAGGCCTCCCCCGCAACCTTAAGCAGCACAACTTTGACGTTCGGTTCATGAGCTCTACGTCTTGGCCTGGGAATCTCGGGCTCCCCATGCCCGCTTTGGGACGAGAACAGGCCAAGTCTCCGAGTGCTTGAGCTGAGCGAACAGCAGTGCTGTGTGTGGGGACGGGAAGACCTCGCTCAAGGCCATGCCGGCCAAAGAGGTTAAAGGCGCAGATGCCGCATGCACCATCATGCCTCCCAGCGCACACGGACTGGCAATATGCGTCTGGACTTTAAACTGGGCAAAGCTAGGAGCCGAATGGCTGTGTGTCCAAATGGGATCCCACCAAATGCGTTTTCCCCATGTTGGCTTCCGTTTTAACTAACTTAGAACCACCTCAAACATCCCGACAACATCCCCACTGCAGAGGCTCTGCATTCCATTTGCTAGGATTGCCACCAAAACAATATCCTAACAAACACCTCCTCCCTGCAAGGGCCTACCTGCCAACCTGCACACGCCCCAAATAATGTCAGCGCGCGATGAGGAACCCGTTTTCTCCTTTGCCACCAATACTTAAGTCCAGGGCCAACAAGGTGTGCCCCAACAAACCCGGCCCAATATTCTTGTCAGCCCTCCTCAACCCCCCCCCCCCTGATTATAAGCCAAGAAAACCTGCCAAAAAAGGGGGCTTTCCTTCTTACTTACTATGTGCTTAGTCTGTGCTTAAACCCACCAACACCAAGTCACTATTGAACCCTCGAGTGTTCCCCAAAGATGTGCCTCCCCCAAGACGCATGGTCTTTAAGCGAAATAAGCCCCAGATGGTGTCAAAAAATATGGGGTCCGGTTTTTGAGATGTCTTTGGGGAGGGGTGGTTCGGGTATGAGTCTTGTTTGCTCACGAAGAAAAAAAAAACACCCCTTGGAGGGCAGCCCTCCCCGCGAGCCGCGAGCCGCGAGCCGCGAGAGAACCAATATAACCGATATAAGAGTCCTCCTAACCGATATTCTAATTGCAAGACAGCTTCCTTCGCATTTGTACTCAGGGCTGGGCTTGTTGATTTGAACAGGCAGCCCAACAAACAAAGCAACCAACCGCGCAAGGAGAACAACTGCTCACGCAAACAAACAAACAAACAAACAAACAAACAAACAAGCAAACAAACAAAGCAAGCAGCCAAGCGACCAACCAAGCAAAGAAGTCAACAAACAAACAACCCACCAAACAAATAACCAACCGACCGCCCATATTTGTTTGTTCTCCAAATGTCTTCTGCTTGCTTCCCTCACCAAGCTGTTCGCCTTCGGCATCCACCTCCAGGAACATCTTGGGCTCCGGCTCCGACTCCTCGACGCCTCACAGGAGCCATGTCTTATGTCTGTACGGATCGGGCCCTTTTCGCCTGGAAAGCCAGGCATCTCCCTCGCCTGGAAACCCTGCATCGTCCCTCCAAAGGGGTCAGCCTTTGGAGCAGGTCTCAAGACGCTTTGGGCACAGCTTCGATCCAATGGCATGTGAATCGAGGCACAGTGCACCCTTTGCTCGATACTTTGATCTCAAAGAAAACGAAAGCGCACCGCTGGAGGTCTGGCTTAACCGAGGTACATTCCCTAACTCGAAGTGGGGGTGGGGAATTAGGGGGTCCAGATTTAGGCAAAATCTGGCAAAATCTGGCAACATCTGGCAAAATCTGGCAAAATTTGGCAAACATTGGCAAACCTGTATTTGACCCTAGACCCCCTAATAGAAAACCCCCACTTTGGATTGATGAATCATGGACAAAAATGGTAGGCAAGTGGGGCCAACTCATCCAGTACTCAATTGATATGGGAGTGGTTGGCGGAACCTTCGCGTCACCAAAGGCCGGGTTGGGAGGGGATGAGGCGCCAATCTGCGCCGAGGAATTGTGGGCCCTATGGACGCAGAAGTGTGTTCCGCTGGGGTTTTCTCCATGATCACAACGACGGGGTCCCCAGAAGGACGCTCCTCTGCAAAAATAGCTTTTGTTGGGCCGCATGTTCATCTGCAAAGGGAGGAATTGGTGAGGCAATTCGTTAGCATGTAGAATGGCATGAAACCTGACCACCAGCAAAATGGAAACTCCAACAAAAAGGAAATCCCTCAACCTAGCAAAATAGGAACCACCCGTAAAAATGGACTTCTAGCCACCAGCTATGAGTGGATTGGGAAGGTAAAATCGACAGACCAACCAAAGGACCTGCCGAAGGACCACCAGCTCATTCTGCCGACCGGCGAGCGAGCTGGAAACAATTTCTGAATCGACCGGGCCACTTGACACGGAACCGATGGTCCTCACTTCCCGCTGGCCCAAAGAAAGCCAAGAGCATAAAGCCCACAGACTCAGGAAGTAAGGGGTAGGAACATAGCTTTCCGGACACCTCTGCTCGGGCTTTCTGGATGGAAGGAGGGGGCCCCGAAGTGGCCCGCCGAGTTGCTACTGGACGCTACGGACTGGAAGGAGTACACCGACTCGATGGAGCCAAACTTCCGTCCGGAAGGCGCCGGCAGTCCAGTCGCTTGGTCCGACTCAGACTCCTCTCAAGGCTCGCCTGTGAACAGCTCAGCCAGAGGAAAAAGCCAGCAACGCATTTTTCAGCGCCTGCAACGCACACTTCTACGGCCGGGGACACCTTCTTTCGGTTGAAAAGTCAGGAGCCATTTTGGTTGAACCCCCCCCTATGTCAGGCAGTAGGCTGGCGCAAAACTTACCCGTTGAGAGGTTGGCCTAGTGTGGGACACCACTACAGGGAAAAATCATCTGTCAGAAGGCTTGGAGATGATCTTGCACCCAGAAGACTTGCAAACTCAACTCTGTCTTTGAAAGCGACCTTTTGCAGCAACCACCGCATCCAAGGCGTCCAAACTAGAGGCAACTCAAAGCAAGAACCCGTCTTCTTGCGTTTTTTGCCACTGCCGGTGGCAGTGACCGCTGGCCGTTCGAAGGCCTCTTGAACTTACCAATCCGTGAGATGAGGCTTGGTCAATCTGTGACGCAGATACAATGCCGAGCGCAACAACTTGAGCGCTCCTTGCTGCTTGTGTTTGAAAGGTGCTATATCAAGGTCATGCTCTTACATTTACGCTCCAAAAGGTGGCTTAAGAATGACTTTGCCCGCCAAAGGGCCATTCTGAGAACGCTCGTGTTCAACAGCCGGTCCTCCAAAGAGAAGGAGGCGCGCTTGCCTGCCAGCGACTTGACGTCTGTGAACTCTCGGAGGCCCAAGAGGTTGTAGGTCTCTCCGTCCATCTTGTTGTACCGAACTTGGAAAACTTCCGTGCAGATCTTGCTGGAGAAGCCTGGGCCAATCCATCCTCCCCTATCCCCCAAAAGCAGAGGCAACAACCATGCAGCAGCTTTTGACCCCGGATAGGGCAAGGAGTGAAAGCACTCCGGTTTGTAAACTTGCAGGGAGTTTCTCAAAGGATTTCATGGCAGTTGCACGTCGCAGAGGTGTCATCCGCCCAGATCTCGCAGCTTGCCTCCCTCGAGGGGTGCAAACCCGCTGTGGGCAATATCATGGCTTTCTTGCTGCCATTGACTGTCACAAAGTCACGGATGGTTCGGATGGTAGTAGGCCCAATTTCATCTGAACGTTTTGAAGTGAAATATGTTGTTCTCTCAGCGCCGCGGTCGTCGCCAATTGTTTCTTCTTGCTTTTCAGCAGGGCGAACACCAACTACCAGGTCATTTCGGCCGGAGTTTTTTTGCAGGTTGTGCGAGGCCTGCAGTTTTTTTCAACTTAGGCAACCTCAAGCAAGGCTAGGGCCGCATTCACCGCAGATCATGGAAAGGCAAAGCCACTGAACTTAAAGTCCAAAAGCTGCTGAACCCAAAGGCTGAGTTTGGAGCCGTGGGTGCGAATGATATCGCTCACATCTGGAGGCTCTGCCATTCCACTCACGGATGTTGGTTCGTTTTACCGGATCGGCGGGCTCGGAATTTGCCCTGACAACTTGCTTTTTGTTGCTCTAAAAACGAGAAAAAGGAAGCACCCTTCTCGGGCGGGTTGACAAGTAGCAGTCCCAAAGCCGCGTGTGAAACACGTTCGCGGTCACTGTGGCATGGCTGGCTGCGTCTCCGGTGAGGAGCTCCTGGGCACGATGCGCCTGACAGGCAGGGCAAGAGCCACAGGCACAACATGATGCCCCAAACAGTCGCGCGAAACTTAATAAATTAACCACCCCGTAGACGGCTGGACCTGAAATGCCACTTGGGTCTCTCGGAAAATTTGTTGTTCGCTTCACAGGTTTTTTGGCCCTACACTCCGAAGGAATCGGGATCCTGAAAAACCAGAGCGGAGCGCGCCTCCTCCGGTGGCATGAAGCTCAGGAAGCTCTGGCCTTCCTTGAAGCACCAAGCGAGAGGCCCGTAAACTTTACATGATAGCAGTATCAAACCATACAAACTGTTCAGTGTTGGGGTGTTTTCAGGGACTTTGGGATTCATGCCGGCTCAAATGCTCGAGCATTTGAACAAGCGAGGAATTGTAATGGCCAAAGCGGATGAGTCGATCTGTGCATACTTGGCCCTGGGATGCCAAATCACGCGAAGCAAATGGGGGAGATTTGCGCATGTTCATGTGGGTCCATTCCAATTTCCGTTTTCACATTCAACCATTCTTATCTAGCTGTATTACACATATATGCCTATATATATATGCGCAAACATTAAGTATGCACAGAAACCTGTTCACACATATACTGGTATGAAGACGTATATGTATATCCATGAATGTGTATATATATATATATATGCAAATATGGTGCCCGCCCATAAACCCTGGCTTGACCAGTGTTTTTCCAGTGGTTTACGCCTTTTTGCTTGATTGATTTTGTGGCAATATTGGAAGGTTGTCAGGTGTATATATAACATAAACATACGTACATACATATGTAATTTAAGCAATGATATCACCATCTGCCATCTGACAGGGCCTGCAAGTAGCTAAGAGTCTTCGGATGACACTGGATTTTCAAAAAGATTTAAAAGTGTGGGGCTCAAGATTCAAGATTCAAGAATCTGAGAGAATTATTTCGGAATCTTGATTCTTGACCAAGTATGCGAACCCGTCTGCAGTCACATGCATTTAATCTGCAACCCTCCAAGTTCCCACAACGGCTGGATTCAAAGTGCGAGGACAAGATTCTCGGAGAAGCCTCCGTGAAAGATTTCAATCTTCATTCCAGTGGTAAGATACTTTAGAGGTTTTAGAACAACTTGAAAGCTTTTAGGTGTTGGCCAGGATTGACGGTTCTCTGGACAGTTTTCTGCGCAATCTTCATCTTGAATCTTCAATCCAGTGTTTAGAAGAACTTAAATGATGTTTGGGTTTTGTCAGGATTGGCGATTCTCAGGGCAGTTTTCTGTGCAACCTTAAAAATTGAATCTTCAATCCAGTGATAAAATACTTTCAAGTGCTTAGCCATGCAGTGAAACAACTTTCAAGTTCTTAGGCACACTTTCACGTGCTTTTGGCGCGCTTCTTGCTTCACGTAAGCTATGCTCATGTTGACCCTTTTCCAGGAGGTAGACAAAGGTAGGTGTAATGCTCCAAAATTCAGTATTTTATGAAGAGGCGCAGGATCGTAAGGGGTACTATATGTGTATACGTATGTTCATACACCGTCACCCCCCCCCCCCCCCCAATACGCGCCCACATCTGCTAATCTACTACCTCCGCCTTTTGAGATAGACTGAACTATGGTGTCCTGTCCAAATAAGGCTTTACATACAACTGATTTAGCTAGAACCCCTGTTGCAAGATAGTCTTAGAATCCCTTGAAATGTCCATTTTGGAACACCATCTAACAAGCTTAATTTCGGACCTTCTTATGCTACGAAAGGCAAATTATGCCAATAAATTTTGAATTTTGTTGTAGAAGCTCTAAAAATTGTTAGCCATATTGAATATGAATTATGTTAAGAAATAAGTCTATTTAATTATTATTAGTATCAAAAGCCAATTGACTTGCAATCGACCGTTAAACTTAAAATATATTTGGGAATAAATTAATATTTAAAACGTGTTATGAAAGATTAGTTGGATTTCACCCGGGATTATATCTATGTTGTTAGTTCACTCCTTTGGTCGCCGCGCAGCTTTTATGGCTCAGTGCCCTACCGTAAGTCCTCGCCCTAGGGCCTACCTACATGTCGAGCGATCCCTTGAGCCAGCCAACAAAGATGCATACATGCGTGGCACCGGACATGGCAGTTTCCACATCCATCAAAATATCTTTTAAGTGCCACGCTCACCCACTCAGTGCTTTCAGCACTCATGCACGCCCGGGGCTATACACATCTCTGGCATAGCCGGCCTTGGCCTTCGACTTTGGCTTTGCAGCCACTTCGCACTCATCGACCCACTCACCGCTCTCATCGTCGGTGGCCAGATTGAACTTCTCCGTGAGGTCCGCCATCGCCACAACCTGGCCCGCGTCCGCATCGAACTCCTCCATGAGATACTTCAAAAGCTTATCCCTCCATCCAGGGAAATTGTGCAACTTCAGCCCCGCCACATTCGTGAGGTCGGCCACTGCCGCCCGAAACTCTTCCGAGTTGGGAACAGCGGGTCTAGCGCTTGAAGCGCCCAGGGTCTCCTTCTCCTTGACCTGCGCCTGCGCGTCCAGGTACGCCGAAACAGCGCCACCCTCCGCCATGACCGCGCGGACCGCGGTGCTCCACCATCGCATCCCATCAGGAAGCGGTTCCACTTCCTCGTTGCTGAGCATCTTTTTGTAGACACCGAGCACCATCTCCAGGATCTTGGTCACCTGGTCTATGTACGCCGCTCCGGTCTGAATCTGAATGGCCGCGGTGTTCTTCGTGAATGTGAACGTCACCTCGCTGGACAGCCCCTTATAGGTCTTCTCTTGCACCCGCCCGAGTGCCATCTTCATCCTGCATTGCGATGCACTTTGCGTCAGCATCCGCCGGAACTCACCCTCGTTGCCCGCAATGGCCTCCGCGAGCTTCTCAAAGAAGGCCCTGATCTCCACCTCGGCGAAGCCGTGGGTCGTCACCTTCACCATGTCGGGCCCGCCTATCGCGGTCACTGCGAGAACTGCCTGGGGGGGCCGAGCCAAGTATGCCTTCCGGGCCGCTTGCTTTTGACCCTCTGTTCTAGCTTGACGCTTAGCTCGCTCTGCTGCTGCTGCTTCCATCATGCTGCTTTCCTTGCTGAGCTGATACCGCCCACTTCTCATAGCCGCTCTCAACAGATCCATGGCCTCAGGGTTTTCCTTAGTCAAAGCATCTGCCAGTTGCAACCACGTGGGGGCCCATCTGACGCGTCCTCCTATCCGTCTGATGGATTCACGTATGATAACCAAGTCGATCGCCACCCGTTTGTCCCCAACTGAATTCGGTGATGAAAAAGTCTGAAGGTGGTCGTATACTGATTTACAGTCAACCACCGCCTGGATACTGAATCTGTGCAGTACCTCATGCCTCTTCCCCAGATTGATCACCCCATCAATCATCTCAACCAAATGACATGCTAACCATTCTGCATGTCCCAAACCGTCCGCCAACACTTGCGTCTCCCCAGCAAACGTTGACCCAACCACACGCTTCAGCCTGTAGGATTTCCATGCCGCCGGAGTCCACGGTGCTGTCCGCCCGTCTTCGAGCGCGTCAGTTGTGATACCAACCAAATATCCTGCTTGTGTTCCTCCCTTCTTGGCATTTGCAAATGCAGCATCTGTGTGTAAACAAATTCTCAACTTGCTGATCGGCACTGCCTGAATCACCCACTGCAAATCTGCATGCTGTTTTGCTCGTTTCACAGTGTGAGCAACAGTCCGTGCCTGTTCCAAAGTTGGTGTCGGAAACATTTGTTGTCCCATGCTCACTTGCACTGCCAAGTCCGGGCGGGTCTCTTTGGCGACCCACAACGCTGCACCTAAGACGGAACGTAGCGATTTGATCTCTGCGGCATTCGCTTGCACTGTACCCGGATCCTTGCTGCGCAGCTGCGGCTTCTTCATTTCTGCAATGAACTCAGCTTGACTGACAGTGATGTCTTTGGTTTTGGGGTCCTGCTTCAGGGATGATCCGCAAAAGGTACCCTCATCGTACTTCCATTTTCGAAACGGGAAGGTTTCTCTCAAAAGCCGAATTGCTTCTTCATAGGACTTGCCCTTTCCCCCTGTGAGCACATCATCCACATGTACCCCCAACACACCTCCGATACCATGCGGTTGCAAATGGTCACGCCAATAGAAAACACAAGGATCCAATACTGACTGCCGCCAGTTCTGCTTCCGAAGCGTCTGCACGAATTTGCAAAACCAGAGCTGTGGCGAGTCATTGAACCCATATAACGGCTTGACGACTTCGAACAGTACTTCTGGATGAACGCCCGTAAACTCGGCATTTCTCGGCTGCTTCAGATACAAGGGTCCCCGTTTTCGTTCAATCTGGTCACCCTCCAGGAAAGCACCCGTCACGTCTCCCAGCTGTAGCTGAAACTGGCAGCTCGCAATACACTGCAATACTGCGAAACGTCCGTTGGAAGAAATGGTTGGAGACTGTGTCTTTCCTTCACGAACCAGCTCAAACAAGTCAGGGTCCTTGTCTCCCCTAGCCGTCCACCGGCCCTTGACTATGGTCTCTCCAGTCTCCTCGACCTTTTCCGTGAGGACGTATCGAGACTCCACCAGTCTCTCCGGAGATTCCCGCATCACCCGCCGCGATTCTTCGAGGCTAAGAGGCCGGAGTGCTTGCTTCTCATGCACGACATTGGAATACTCCTTCATTACCCCAGCTTGCATTTTCTTCTTCCCTTCCGCCTCTTGCCACTGCGGATCTCGCGGGTTCAGCTCCTTGCGGCCTCCGGCCAGCAAGCACTCAGCGGTGAATTCATCCCCGTCATCTGACCCGCATGCTAATATCCAAGAGGTGTCCTCATCTTCATCATCTGGAAGCTTTTCCGACAAAACTGTCGCTTGCTTTGTACTGTCAATGCAACCAACAAACATGGGCCCTTCGGATCGGCCCTGGCCGGGAACGGGAGGATGCAAATGCGGTCTCGAACTAGCCGGGGCAGGTAGGGAGGGTGGATAGATCTGACCAGCGACCTGTTGACCCTCAAATCTAGGTTGTTTGAGTTGTCGTTCCCCAGTGTCCTTATCTCTCCGCCCAACAGGGATACCATCCAAAATGTCTGCTTGATCGATTGACGCCGGCAAGTTGGTCAGATCTTGTCCCGACAAAGCACTCACCCGGTTCTCCCAAGACTGAACGCTCCGGCTGTCCGAGGATATCCATTCGGAGTCCCTTCCTATCGTCTGGTTGTCTGACGGAACTTCGGCTCCGGAAAGCTGAGAGCCCTCACTTTCCGG